AAGAGGAATCGAGGATGACTCCAGTCACTGTTTTTGACGAGATACTAGGTGAATGGTGGTGATGTTTATTGATATGACCAAGATTGGGGAAGGGGTATATTTTAGATGTTGTGGTTAGTGATTGAGAGGTTTTATACATGTTAAATGAAAGTTCCTTATTAAATATTCAGTTAAAGAGTTTGAGTAGATTATTACTTAAATGAATCTGGAGCTTGGGAGAAGTTAAGGCTGAGATAATAATTTGGGAATCAATAGTGAATACTACTGTGTAAAATCATAAGCATTTTAAAAGTGTCTGCTATTTATAAGGCTCTTGACTAGGTGCTGGGGATATTATAATGAGTACGATCACATAGCCCTGGCTGGCATGTAGTTTACATTTCTTTTGGGGAGGTAAAAGATCAAACAACTAATTGCACATTAAATTACAGTTGTGAAATGTGCACTAAAGGAGAGACAGTGTATAATGGTGGTAGGGTATCCTGATTTAGTCTGGAAAATTAGGGAAGACTTCCTTGAGGCAGTTACTGTTTTTAGCTATAATAATGTGGGGAAAACAGCAAGACAACGAGCATGCAAAGATGTGACGGCAGAGAGAGAATGACATCTTTAAGACTCTGGAGGAATATCAGTGCAGCTGGAGAGGAGACAGTGGGGTGGCATAAGATGAAGGGAACAGGTAAGCAGGAGTCAAACCATGGAAGCCCTGGTGATGATTTTAGTCTTTGTCCTAAGAGAAAGGGAAAGCCTTTGAAGGAATGATATCATATTTACAATTTAAAAATCACTCTTAGCTGTTATGTAAAGAAGGCATTAAAGGGTTGTGCAAAGATGCTTAGGAGAGACCAGTTAGGAGAGTGTTGCTGGGACTAAAGTAATAGCAATGAGAATACAACAGGTCATGTTTGAGAAACATCTAGAAAATAAAATGAAAGAAGTTAGTAATTGTTTGGATATGATAAGATAAAGAAATAGGAGATGCCAGAAATGATAAAGGAAGATTTACGATCTCCTGGATTTATGGTTTCCTTGGCTAGGTAGATGTTTGTACCATTCATCAAGATAGGTATTTCTGGAGGTAGACTAGCTCTTTTGTGGGGCAGCAGTGATTGGCACGACCTGTTGCCTTTGAGCTTTCCTTTGAAACATCCACGTGACAATGCCAAATAAGCACTTCAGATATTTATCTGGAGCTCAGAGGAGAGAGCTGGGCCAAAGGAATAAACTGAAGAGTCATAGGCATTTAGATGGTTAATTGAATTTTTGAGTTTGGACGAGATTGTCTGGAGAGAGAAGTACATCTGGAAAGAAAGTTACCTTGAAAACAGCCTCGAATCACTCTAATATTTGTCAGCTGGAGAAGCAGATAGACGAGAAGGCTTGGGTAGAGGAAGGAGGACAATCAGCAGCATCATGTCTTAGAAGCCAAATGAAGGGGACTTCAAGAAAAAAGGAGAGGTCAGCTGTGCTAACGTTGAGGATCAGAAGTACAACAGAGTAATACAGTCCAGTTGCTTCCTTTACAGTTCTTTGAAAATCATGAAAACCACTCCATCTAAAACAAAAAGAGCAATTGTTGGAAGACTGCACAGGCCAAGCCTTAGAGATTCAAAGGGAAGACTTAGAACACATAGAAACCAGTTTTATTCTAGAGCTGAAAGTGGAGTAAACAAACTGAAACCATTTATTTGTAGCCTTTTTGTTCTCTGCTCAGAGCCCAGGAAGAAGTGTCCAGCAGGCCCAACTGAAGACATGTATGTACCCATGTCTTGGGTAGGGGTGGGCGTGGACCTGAGTAACTGCCCCACCAGCTGTATCCCATGGAGGCGAGGTAGTGCTCCAAAAGGGAATCAGAGCAATGAGACCAAAAGGAGACAGACAGGTGGTAGGCAGTCACGGCCAAAGATTGCTGAAAACATCCGTTTTTTTGAGCATTTCATCAGTTTGGGGAGCATCTGCTTACTGATCAGAAAAAGAATGGAAAAATTGAAACAGGAGATTTCTTCAATGTAGTCCAGGGTACAGACTGGGTAGGGAGCAGTGGCTGTAGGTTGCTTGTAGAGGACAGACAAGCAAGAAAGATGGGGCACTAGCTCTCAGTGTGTGGGGGTGGGGCGGGGGAGGGGCACCAGCCTTGTCCTTATAGTCAGTCATCTTGTAACATTTAAGTAGAAAGTCACTGTCCTTGAAGTATTGTGGGACCTGTAGTTTTGAATGGAAGAGTTTTGTAGTATTTTAGTGTTGCTTAAATGTTTGGCATAATTTTGTTTGTCATAAAATTTTGTGTCTTTGGAACTCTGAAGAAATAAATAGTAACTTCTAAGCATGTAGTCTACAGTAGAAATGGAAAAACATACATAAAAGTGAAGGACTGGAGTGGTTTTCTCGATGAAAATGAGCATCTGAGAATTTTTTTTCATCCTTTTTTGGTTTTCAACTTTGTTTTAAATCAGTGACATTTGCAACTATAGCTATATGTTACATTAAATATTCATGACAGCAAGCTACTTTTATACTAGAAATGGGAATAGTATAGCAAGAAAAGTATTTTTCACTTTTGTTTAATAAATAAATCCATGATAGTAAACAATGGTTGCATTTATTTTACAACACTAACTTTATAAACCATTTCCTTTCAGATCTAAGAGTTTCTTTACCACCTTTTGAAAGATAGCGCAGGCTCTTTTCTTGCAATTGGCTTTATAAATTTGCATTGTCAAAGCTGGAAAGCAGTGTAGTGTGATAGAAAATGTGCAGGAACCATACATCACTTTTTTGTCTTTTGCTGAGACATCACTTCAGCGTCATCTTATCTATGGTCCTTACGTCTATGGCTTTGGAGCAGGTCTGATCTGGTTCAAATCCCAGCTTTGACCTTACCAACTATGTTACTCTGGGCAGATTACTTTATCTCTCTGAGCTTTTGTTTTCTTACCTGTAAAACAGAATATTAATGCTTGTTTTTCATGGTTGCTATGGGAATTAGATAGTGAAAAGTTTCCAGAAAAGTACCTTGCTGGTAGCAGTTATTCAACAAATGTTAGGTCTTTCTTCTCTCTTTGCTGGGTAGATTTATTTTCCTCCTAAGCAACTCAAGTGCTTGTATAAATAGATTAATGAGAACTTTTTAAAAACGTACATTTGATACGGTTATTTAAACCACATTTGTCATTGAAGACTATCAGCCTAGTGTAGGACCAGCAAAATGTAGTGAGCTTTCCGAAAATGGTGAAAGCAGCCTGGTAGATTTAGAGGCTTCTTTAAAATGAAACCAAAACAAATACAGAAAATAGAAGGGAAAAAAAAAACCCTGGCACAAAGTAAAACGCCTCCTTGAGATTGAGGCCTTTATGTGGTCATCTAGAGCATTTTGCACCTCTGTAAGCTTTGCTTTTACAGATGTTTAGGATCTTCCATCTCACAATACAGGCTATGTCTACCACACACTCACCAGCAGCCATAATAGCTATTGTGCAACTGTCTCACTCTATTTTCCCTTGAACTGATAGAATTTTACACTTAAAAGATTTATTTCTCCGGTTATAATATCTAAAATTAGTAAAATTTCTTAATTCATCACACTTTAAATAGGACAGTCCTTGCAGTGCTTGGTTAAATTCGGCTCTACATCCTGACAATTTCTGTGATTAAATGAACATTGATGAAGATACTGACCTGTCTAAAGAGCTCTGCTTCAGAGTTGGGTTACAAAGACGATGACCTATTAGAAGAGAAGCAAGTAGGCTATAAATGCCAAGGAAGAGGTATCAACAGAGTGCCGCGGAAGTGCCTGGAAGGAGCAGTTACTTCCAGCTGAGGATGGAGAAGGCTTTACAGAGGAAGTTGCGTTTGACTTTGGCTTTGAGGAACAGGGGATTAGCTGGGTAGAATGGGGGTTTGGGAAGTGGGCAATGGCATTGGAAGCAGATGCAACAAACTAATACACGAAGTGCGTGGCATATTGTAGGAACAGTGAATAGGTTGGTGTTGGTGGAACCTCCCGGGGTTTGGATTTGTTTGGTAAGAAATGAATCTGGAGTTGCCGGCGATGGCATAGGCTGCAGTGGGGCTGCAGTGGGCTCCCCTAAGCTACCATGAGCGGCTGGCAGCCAGTGTGAGCGGCCAGTAGCCGGCGTGAGCTGCCAAGAGCCGCCATGAGCGGCCGTCCAATGGCCGGCGACCAACCTGCCTCACCCGGGAAGAGCGCAATGATAATACCAACATGGGCCAGTGAAGCGACATCCTCCACAACTAGACTAAAGAACAAAAGGACAGCAACTTGTCTGTTCCCCTTCCCTGATTCCCCAACGCTGTTCCCTCCCCCAATTCCCCAGTAAAATCTTTAAAAAAAAAAAAAAAAAGAAAGAAAAGAAATGAATCTGGAAAGCTGGAATTAGGCCACACTGTGAAGTTTCTTAAGAGCTGTTTAAAGGAGATGGGACCTTATTCTGAAGATAACATAACTCTGGTGCAGAGAAAAAAGGCTTTGTGCAAGAACAAAGTAAGAGGAACTAAAAGCCCAGAGATCTGTTAGATTATTGTAATAGTGAAGACAGAAAAGGACAAAGATCAAGTGAGGCTATAACAGGATAGCTGTAGAAACCAAAGAAGACGATTTAAATGTTTCAGGGTCACAGGCTGACTTCACAAACCCTGGTGATCAGATATGGAGATGAGGGTAAGGGAAGAGTCAGAGATCACTTCAAGACTTCCAGTTTTCCAGACACACTGATGCTGATTAACAAGGATTGAAAGAGGAATTCCTTTGAGGTAAAGTGAGAGTACTTATTGTGAAGGACTTGATAAAGCAGAGATTCCAAAATTCTAGTGCTCTCTATTATGTCTCATGCTGTAGGAAATTTCATGTTTCAAGTTGCTCTGTGTAAGAGGACATTGGTACATATTGTTGTAGTTATGAGGCTTAACCTGAGATGTTTTGAGGTTTTACAAGTTTGTTACATTATCTTTTTAACATGAGAGTACCACAAATAAATTTTTAGTCTTCAGGAGACCTATGAAGCCAAAAGACACGAATTTTATGGTGAGCGTCAGAGGAAGGAAGAAGAAATGAAACAGATGTTTGTGCAGCGAGTAAAGGAGAAGGAAGCCACACTGAAAGAAGCGGAGAGAGAGGCAAGTACTCTGGTGTGATGGGATTTGTATTGTCTTGGTTCCTATTAATTTGGGGGATTTATCTTAAGAATTTAGTTGACGTGCTTTTGGAGACTGGCTTGTTACTCTTTAAAAAGTAGCTATTTTAACACATAATCTTTGGATATAGACTTTAAAAAATCATAATCTGAAATCAAATAAAAATTTTGGCCTTTATGAGTAAATGGTTTTCCTTTGAAATTGGTGCACCAAGGACTTGTAATAGACTGGTTTACTAAGAAGTGTTTCAAATATCTTAACCACAAGCCAGAAATACTTTAGTTCTGGCTTTATAAAGCCTTTTTTTGAGAGTTTTTGAGAGTTGTTGGAATTGTGTTTTGCCATGAAATGTGTAACTATGAAAGCTGTTAAGTAGCATTTTGACTTTGAACTCAGGCTTTTGGATGAGTTACTGGCCTAGATGACCTTTGGATAGCCTTGCCACACACACAAAAAAAATCAGTAAATTCCTATAGTGTTGTTTGCTTCTCGTTCTTCAAGCAACAATTTTAGTTTTATTTATGTTAAGCTATTTTCTATAGACCTGTAGACCTAACTGTAATGGCTACTTTTAAGTAAATGGCCACATTTAAGATGCAGGTCAAAAGGAAGGAGCTACAAAAAGGAATTTCTAGAAGACAAATGTTAATGCGGATGAACTTGATAACACCAAGAGTTCCTGAAGAGTTATTTGTAAAGTAATTTAATTTTACAAATTTATTATTTCAAGTACACTTATAGCCCTTGATATTTAAATGAATCCTGTAGTAAGTGATTTTATGAAATTAATAATCTACTATATCTTATTTATAATGAATTTTGATCTTTTATTTTGAAACGGTTCAAATGACAGGAAAGTGGAAGTACAGAATGCCCCGTGCCCCTCCCCACACCTACGTTTAGCAATGAACACTCTGCCTGCTTTATTTTCTATGTGTGTATGTATGCATGTGTGTGTGTGTGTTTCCCTCGTCACCTAAAAGTTGGCTGTAGATGTCATGAGACTATCTCTAGGCATGTCAGTGTGCATTTCTCAAGCTTCGGTGTATTTTCCTCCATAACCATAGTAGCAATATTACACCTAAGAAAATGAATAGGAATGCCATAATCTCCTAATCTCCAGCCCATATTCAAATTTCTCCAGTTGTCTCAAGATTGTCTGTTATTATTTCTTTTAGTTTGGTGATTTTTTAATTTTGTTTTTGAATCAGAATTAAATCACAGGTCTCCTATTGCATTTGGGTGCTCTGTTTCTTTAGTCTCTTTTATTTGAGAATAATCCGTATTTGGAGTTATTTTTAAATACAAATATTGAGGAAGGAGTTGTGACGAGTAAGAAATAAGGATGCTGATTTTAATTTCAATTAGTAGATTCATCTTTAAGATGGTAGTAGAGTAAAACTCTTTCAAGAGTTTATCTGTCTTAATGAGCCTTAGTTTCTCCAGTGAGGAGAGAATTTGTAGAAGTGGTTTATAGATGAGTTTTAATTTTTAAAACCCTACATAAGAATATTTTGCTTAAATATGTATTATTTAAAAGGAAATTAAAAATTCAGCGTGACCAAATGGTTGAAAGAAAAAGAGAAATACTGTTTGTCAGTAGATGCTTTTTTGTGTTAAGGGTATATATTAAACTAATGAAGAAGTTAATTTAAATCTAAGGCATCAACAACCAAAGTTGTCACAGGAGTTCTAAGCTTTTCATTATATAGCTTTAGAAGCAATAGATTACTGGTCTGTTTCATAACTATTACACGGTCCTCACGACGAGTTTTCATGCTGTAAAAGCAATGTCGTTAATACTTTAGAGTCAGGGTCAGTACGCTGAAGAAGGAAATCTAGCCCGTAATCATCACTGAAGGACTAAGGAAGACAGTATAATTTATTGCCTTAATTAGTATGGTTTTAGAGGGAAAGGAGGCTTAATAATTACAGTGGGACAACAGGTGGGTGTAAACCAGGTCTCTTCTGGGCGAACCAGGACATTTAGTCACCCAGTACTTGGCTGCTGACATTTTAAAGCTAGTTCTATCACTAAGATACTGGGAGTCACGAATAAAAAGATAATTTGGGTAACCCAAAACATTATTTAATTCTGTATTAGGGGACCTTATTATTTAAAATATTCTTGCCAATATTGTTGTCAAACAAATACCTCTTAATTTATCTTTCGTAAAAATCTGGATTTGATTATATAGTTAGCTGAAAATGCTGTGAACATTAGATAACTAAAGTAGGGAGATGCACAGAACAAATGTTATCTCAAATTACTGTTTGTTATCTTTTCTACATCTTTATTAACATCACTCTAGATGTACTAGTGAGGCATGTTATTATATGTCACTCATATTTCCCCTTCCCCTCCCCCCACTACAAGAAAAAGTACACAGCTTATATTTACCCCTCAAATAAAGCCCATAAGTGTCATTAAATCCTTACTTCTTCCCCATTTTATAAGTCTATTCACTAATTTTTCATTTACTATTAATGCCTCTCCATTTCTAAAAGTATTCTAGATGATTTTCAATAAAAAAAATACAGCTACGTTATAATCCTGAACACGACAGTACAAGTGCCTTGTAACAAGAGCAGGAAGGAGCGGTTTGCACATGGGTCGAGCTGAGAGCCGTGGCACAGGGTAACTTCCCAGTGAACACAGACAGCTCACCGTCCAGGTGGTCAAGGCCAGAATGGACCACAGCGAGGTACAGAGCTCAGAGGAAAGATGTCTACTAGTTCATTAAGGGAGGAATGTTGTCTCTAGCATTCATGTCCCAAAATGGATACATTGAAAAGGATCACTGAACAACACAATGTATTCCTTAGAAGTAGTATTTACAAAAGATATAGCAGTGTACCATATTGGTGATAACAGTCTTAAGAGCATAGGTGAGTAGTTATCAACAGCACAGAAGGTCTCCTGTTTCTAGCTTTTTTGGTTAGTATTTGAAAATAAGTTTGAATGAAATGCCTATTGCAGTGAATAATGGAACCACAAGTGAGTGCTTCATGTATAAAGTATGCATTTTAATCAGATAGACAGAGCATGCCAAAAAAAAAGTATACATATTTTAAGAAAGAAAACTATATTGTAATACTCAATATATACCAATAACAAAAGATGAATACAGGTCATGTTTGACTTCTGCAATGACAAGAGCTGCTCAAAGTGGTTACCATCAGCATCCAGATACTTCTAATTACAGCAAACTACTGCTTGAGCAACGTTGACCAAAGTGTCCACTTGTATACATTTCTTTGGCACCCCCAATATATCTCTATGCACATAATATAAATCTGCCCCTACATCTTTTCTTTCCAAGTTTTACCGTCCACACCACTCCTCTCCCAAACTTATAGGGGATGTACACATGCTCAGAGAGCAGTAGACTATTTATACCACTGCTTTGAAGGACAGATGAGTTCTGACACACACACACACACGTACCACACTTATATATCTTTTTATAGAAGTAGGAACCATTTAAATAAGCAAGTACTAAGGAACTAATGCTTCTCTGAAATGACATCCTCAGGAATAAAAGGATGTAGGGTAGAATGGCCTTATTTAATCTGTTTCAACCTTGTTCTGTCTCTTTTTAAATACTCCTGTCAGGATTACTGGCTCACTAAACACTATTCCATATTTAGAAGATTTAACTTTTATTAGGTTGGAGTTTAGCTCTCTTCAATTTTTACCCTTAGCCTCTTATTTTTAGTGAAGTATTTCCTCAACTATTATATGCCGTCTTTTCTAGAAACCAAGTTCTACTTTTTATATGAATGCTAGGTTGCTGCCCAGGGTGGAAAATACGAAAGTTTATCTAAACAGACCAGAGGATCAAGAAAAAAGTTATTTTTTTGGACCTAGATTTAGATGCTATACTTGTGTTTATGGCAGGCATGGCACATGGCTGATTCATATGGAGTCCACTCAAGTCCCTAAATTTTTTTTTTTTCAGATAAACAACAATTAAGTCAGTGAAATCTCATGTTGTAATGTTATAAACTTTTACAAAACTCACTTAACGGCCACATGGAGTGTGTTTGGTGTAAATTTATTTTGTTTACAATATTAGACACAGGCTATTTTGTTTACATTATAGTGTAAATTCTACTACAGTGAGTATTTATAAAACTTTCTCTGAATTTAGGATTTCTTGATTCGGTTTAAATTTCAAAGTCAATGACTGTGGAAAAAAAATATTTTTGAGGTTCTTGATTTAAATTGACGCTTGACACTTGCTTCCCAAACAGGTTTACCAGTATAACTTTCAACAACTGTTTACTACAAATGATAACTTATTTGGAAAATAGCGGGGGTTTTTTCCCTTTTGATAACTTGCTTCTGTAATTTGTGTCCCTCACTTTTATTGAGCGTGGATTTTAGAAACTTTACTTGAAGAGGCTTTGTGGAGGAACTGTAAAGCAAGAAAATAAAAACTCCCAAGAAAAGGTCAAGTGTTTTAAAGACTGAGGTTCGTTCATGAGGCTGTGGTTTTTTATTACATTTTTCTCATGCACTTTTTGCATGGGACCTTATTTAAAATGAAAGTTACTAAGGCAAGTCCATGTGCACATTTTTCCTGGAAGCATGGACTTTGGGGACCCCAAGAAGATTGTGTGGATGACTGTGGAGGTTAGCGTTCGCAGTTGCGTTTCTGAGCCAGAGAACCTTCCTGTGCATTTGCTGCCATTCTGTGTCATTAGTGAGTATCGCACCTTTGTTTCACAGCTCCAGGCCAAATTTGAGCACCTTAAAAGAATTCACCACGAAGAGAGAATGAAGCTTGAAGAAAAGAGAAGACTTTTGGAAGAAGAAATAATCTCTTTCTCTAAAAAGAAAGCTACCTCCGATGTATTCCTGAATCAAACCTATATGGCAACGGGCGGCAACCTGAAGAAGGACAAGGACCGTAAGAAGTAAGTCACCCCCTCCCACTGCCGCTGGGAGCCGCCTCCCCACCACTTTCTGTCTCACTGCCCTATCTGATCTTCACATTGCTTCTCAGCATTCTCCTTACTCCCTGTCTGCCTCCTGGGACTAAAATGTCAGGTCCTTGAGAGCAGAGACCTTGTCTGTCCCTCTTGCTCACTGCTGTTACCCAGCATCTAGAAAAGCACCTGGTGTGTATTAGGTGCTCTATAAATATTTGGCATGATCAGTGAGTGAATGAATGGATTAACAAACAAACAAAAATACATCACAGTGTAAAAAGGGTCAGTTACCTGGGGAAAAAAATGGGCTGCTCTTCATAGCTAAGCCTGCAGCCCTGTTACGCATCTAATAACTACTGACCCACCGTTAGTTATGTTGAATTTCATGTCTAATGGAAGCTATATACTTCGTTATGAAATCACAGATATAAAATAATACTTGATAAGAACTAGTTCTTAGATTCACTTTTTTTTTTTTAACCAATTCTACTGATAATGATTTTGTGAGAATTTTTATCTTAATAAGGGAACCAGGCTATCGATACGAACTCCTGTGCTTTGATGTCAGAGCTTGTGAAACCAGTGGTGGACGTAAAGATACAGAGGAAGGTAGAGGGGGCCCCAGTAAGCGGGGCGGCCATGAGTAGCATTTGGATGATAATCCCAAAGCTTGTAGGTTTGGGGTATGTGTTAAATCAAAGTTACCCAAGTTTTAGAAAATAAGTTTTTTTTTCCTCTTTCATTACTTTGTGTCCTTCATTTTATTTCTCCCACTTAAAATGTCCTTGTCAGTTTGCCTCTTTGACTGTTCTTGAAATTCATCATTGATTTGTTCTGTTGAGAATGTTCCTTTGTGGGTCTTTGCCTCAGTTTACTCCAACTATCTCTGCTTTAGCAGCTTCAAGTCCTCCTTATGTTTCTCATAGAGCAACACTTTCAGTTTAATTTTATCACCACACCTTATTTCAAACCCAGCATTTTCAGAATATTGTAACTCAATTTCAAAATAGTTAGGAAAACGTAATGTTGGTCCATGGTAGCTTTCCATTTTTGAACTCTGGAGAAGTAAATCCACAAGGTTTTGGTGTATTTAATTGACCTGTGGATTATATAGTTTTGGGGGTAAGAAAGAGGGAGTTCTCATGTATTATCTTTAGTATAAGTTCTACAAGGGTATGGATCTGTGTTTTGTTCATGGATGTATCCATCCCCAGAGCCGAGAACAGTGCCTGGTACATAGTGGGCATGTAATTATTTGTCAAACGAATGAATATGATTTGTAATAGCTATGTTTTATTCAAGCATTGAATTTCAAAAGATAATTTATTAATGCTTTTCAATATGTTTTGAATTATAAAGCTAAGGGACCTTTTACCTTCTTATCTTGTCATCTTAATCCAGTATTACTAAAATTGGATTTCCCCATTTTAGTTCATATATGAAAGATAATTTGCATTTACTTTGTATGATAGAAATTGTCACCCTGCTCCTCTTGGGAAACTTTGGTATGTGCTGTTGTTTACAAAACCAGGGCCAAGCCCATACTTTTTTGAGAGATCAGAATTCATCCTCAAGAAAATAGAGTTTGGTGGGATTTTTTGTTCTTTTCCAAAGTTCCATAGCTAGATACCCTATAGTATATCAGATATATATTTGCTCTTTCTGGAAAAACTTTGTAAAACTAATGTTCTAGTAATTTTTATTTACTATATGATTTTTTATTGTACCATTCAAAAGGATTTTTTTTTCTCTTTCTAGCTCCAATTTTATGTAAAGGCTCCAGATCACAGAAAGTCATCACAAGCAAGAATTATTAAAATGTTAGAAGTATGCTGTGATTTTATTGCTGTTTTTATTTGCTGTATCACTTATTCTGTATCTGGCAAATGCGGACAGTTACTGCCATGTATGGAAAAATACTGTTAAGTATAAGCCAGAGTGGATGATAGCACTTATAGATTCACTATTGTTAGAAGTTTTTAAGTTGCTGATTTGTGATGACTCTAGATCGTTTCTCCTGCTGCTCACTTACTGTCACTTTGCACAGCCTTATACCACAGAGCAGTGTCAGTGCCATTGAAAATACAGAACTCATTCATACTATGGCTGATTGCATGTATATTCCAAGATGAACGTTTTTTTGGTGCATACTGAAAGTAATATTTTGGGACTATGTTTTAAATGTATTATGTACCTGAAACTGACCTGACCTCTCAGTAGTTTTATAGAACTTTTTAACTTTTGATACAGTTATCCAGTTGGTAACATGATCCTGAGCTTTTGTATCGAATTTTATATAACATGATCGCCTTCCATGCTTTAGTGTGCCTTATTGTGGTTGATGTATTATTATGAGGAAACAAAATATGTTTATAAGTAGAAACATCCAGGTATATAAACCTGTTTCCTAGTGTTAAATACCTTTGAACATGGGTGTTAATCACAGTATTTTCATTAGGATGTATTACATACTTGTTGCTTAGAACTCTGTCTTCTGGGGAGCAAACAAAATTTTAATTATCTTATTAAAAATATTTCTTAAAATAACTGAACATCTAATATTAAAGATATGAAAATTTAGATAATTCATATCTCAAGGGATATTTGAATTCAGTGCCTTAGTAATATTCTCAGAACAATTAACTTTTCTTATGTCATAGTTATATAATTTTTCATTTTTTTTGTACCCAGATATTCTCAATAAAGCTGACATTTACTCTTGACTAATAAAATATATCTACATATTTACTAAAACATGTTTAAATTACTTTTCTTTTTCTTTTTAATTAAAATTTATTGGGATGACAATGGTTAGTAAAATTACGTAGGTTTAAAGTGTACAATCCTGTAATACATCATCTATATATCACATTGTATGTTCACCACCATACAATGTTGTATGTTCACTCCTTCCATCACCATACATTTACCCTCTTCTACTATCCCCTCTCCCCCCTTACCCTCTGGTAACCACTGAACTATTGTCTGCCATAAGAAAAGGTGAAATAGTGCCACTCGCTACAACATGGATAGATCTTGAGATTTTAATGCTAAGAGAAATAAGTCTGACAGAAAAAGTCAAGAACCATATGACTTCACTGATATGTGGATATAAAACTGAAAGCAACAAAGGGACAAGACAAAGAAACAAAAACTCATTAACTTTTCTTTTTATAAACGGTCATCTTAAGAAACACTTTTATCAGAATTAGTTCATTTAATTACATGTTTGAATTATTTTAAGACAGGTATATTACCAGTATTTTTCATACAACAAAATGTTTGGCCTATGTCAGATTCTGAATAGTGTTTTTTTCATGAAGTTGCATATGTTGCAAATGAAACCTTGCCTTTCATAGCACAATTTTTCTGGACAAATGCTTTACATTCCATTTTTACATTTGAAATGCACAAATGTCTCAACCTTTTAAAACTTGAGTAAAGTAAGTTATAAGTATAACAGAAAAAGCCCTGACCTTTCTTCTCAGTATCAGTCGTGCCCAAGTTCTGGCAGGTGGAGCAGGAGAGGGTGAGTCCCTGAGGCAGGTAGCCTGTGGTACAGAGCCTGGCCAGTTCCGCAGCGCTAAGCGTTAGCCGAGGACGGTGCCTTCCCAGAAGCTCGGGTCGTTATTTGTACCCATATTAGAGCGAACTCTGTATCGAACAGCTATCCTCAACTTTAATGAAGTTACTTTTAAATGCCAGATTGGTTGTTGGCATGTTAAAACAAAGTTATTCAAGTTTTTGTTAAAAAGGTTATGGAAAGCGGCGCAAGACTCTGCACTTAACAGAAGGTAATCATTTTGTATTGATCTGCTCTGAGACAGAGTCACTGTATGTGCTCCAGCCACAAGGCGCATCTTTCATTGAATTCATGTATTTGGGATTCCATGTATGATTTTATTTTTAAAAAGTTGCATTGCAAAGAACGAACATTTTAAAAATAATTGCACTATATGTTCAAATACGCCTTACAAAATGAGCTGTTGTCCACAGATGCTTAAATCATTAAATTTCCTGGGAACAAAATAAAACTAGACACATTTTAAATGTTTTTTCTATAAAGCATGTGAAACAATTGCCTCTCGCTACCAACCATTAATCTTTGTACATACTACTCTGATTTGTAAAGTCCTTTCACATAGGCTATGATTTCAGCTTCAAAACAACACAAAAGAAAAAGTGTTACAGGTATTATTATCATCATCCCCATTTTGAAGATGAACTCAATTTAGGTCCCGTGTTCCTCTTGAGCCTCAGAGGCTGTGCATGTCCTCATGGGACAACCACAGCCAGGAACAAGACAGCAGATTTACGCATCGAGTACTCCAAAGGGCTCCTGTCTCTACCCACAAGAAGACATCAGAGAAGCGACTGGGCCTGGGAGGCTTGGCAACAGTTCCTCAGATGTAGAAATGGAGACAGGCAATCCAGATACAAGGAACAGCATGTTTTGGATGAAACCTGTGTCCCCTTGGAAAGTAGCTAAATATGAATAGTGAGTATAGGGGAGATGTGGGGCACGAGTGAGGGTGAGGTTTTAGAGGTAAGGATGGAACAGATCAAGAAAGAGTTGGTAAGACCAATTCGCAGGCAATAGGAGCTATGGAAAGATACGACCTCACATGGTCAGGTATTTCTCCAGAGTTCACAGGAAAGATGTGTTGGGGAGGAGGCACCAGGGCAGGGACAGGCCGGCCGATCAGTCACTACAGTCTAGGCCAGTAGTTCTTAACTGAGTATGCAATAAAATAACGTAAGTGGCATTTAAAAAAATACTGATGCACAGAGGAATATATAGTAATGGAAGTGGTCATCTAGCTAAATCTAAATGAATAATTGTGTAAAACAATGAATATATCTCATGGAGTTAGAAATCTAGAGAGAACGAAAATACAGCACTACAGTGGTATATAAGTTGGGGGAATAGTGTGGATGATCTCAGGATCTTGCACTAACTGGGAAGAGGATAAAAGTCCCAGTCAGCCAGGTAACATGAGACTTAGTAATAGTGCATGTAGGTGTGGTAAAGTATATAATTTTCAAGTAGTAAAAAGAAAACTAATCTAATAAATGATAATCCAAAAAAATAAAAGAAGATAGGTATGACAACCCAAAAGCATTTAGTAATTTAGTAGATTTAGACCCAAATAAATCAGTAATTACATGTACTGTGTGCTCTAATTTTTTTTAGATGAAGTTTTTAAAAATCAACTCATGCACTTCACATGAGGTCTAAAACTTTCTCTGTCTTTATGGAAGATAGGAAAAGGAACATCACGCAAATCCTAACTAAAAGCTAACGTGTAGCCGTATTTTCTATATATTAAAAAAGTTTTAAGACAAAAAGCATTGTTAGGGATGAAGATGTACACTTCAAATAAAATATATAACAATTCCAAATGTGTATGTAATGTCGTAGCCTTAGCATATTTAAAGCAAAAATTGAAGAGACTACATGGAGAAATAAGCAAATTCACGTTCGGTGGGAGATTTTAATTTTAACACACCTCTTGTTAATGATAGAACAAACAGACCAAAAATTGCTACAGATATGGGAGACTTGATGAAAACATTTAATAACGTGCCTGGTGAACATATAAAGAACAATGTACCTCAGAATCACAGAATATACACTATTTTCAAGTACACTCGAACATTTATGAAAATTGACTATATGTTCAACTATAAAGCAAGCCTCAATACTTTCTAAAGGAATTACATTGTAAAGACTGTTCTCAGATCATAATGTGATTGATAGAAATCACTAGTAACTAAAACATTTCCATATGTTTGGAAATTAAGAAATATACTAAAGAACCCATGAGTCAGAGAAGAAATCAAAAAGCAAATTAGAAAATATTTTGAACTGAATGGTAATGAAAATATTATATACTTGTGAGAAGCAGCTAAAGTCATTCTTAGGAGTCAAAATTCATAGTCCTAAATGCTAGTATTAGGAGGGAGAAAAAGGCTGAAAACCAATGCTCTACACATTACATCTCAAGAAGTTACAAAAAGAGGAAGGAGTAAACTAAACCCAAAGAAAAATGATAAAGATGAGAACAGGAATTGATAAAATAGAAAAAAAATTGAATTCTTAAAAGATTATTAAGATTGAAGAACCATGACAAGAAAGACCAAGAAGAATGAAAAGAGGCATAGAATGGCTAAGATTAAAAATAAACAACAAACCTGACACTAACAAAAACAAACAAAAAAAGATATGAAATGACCAGAGCACACGACATTGCTGGTGGGAATGCAAAATGGTTCAACCACAAAGGAAAAGTTGGGCAGTTTCTAACATCCTCACCATCTATGTTTGTTTTTTATGGCTGCTCTAACAAATTATCACAAATTTAGTGGCTAAAAATAACAGTATTTTTATAGTTTTGGAGGTCAAAAGGCTGACATGGGTCTTACAGGGCTAAAAATCAGGGTTTGGGCAGGGCTGTGTTCTAAGTCAGAACCCCTCCGTGGCCTTTTCCAGCTTCTAAAAGCTACCCACATTCCTTGGCTCATAACCCATGCCCTCTTCAAAGCCAGCAGTGTGAGTTGAGTGCTCACACTGCATCACTCTGACCTTTTCCTCGCTCTTCCACTTCAAAGACCCTTGTGGTTACATTGGGCTCATCAGCATAATCTCTCTATTTGCTGATTAGCAGCCTTATTTCCCCTTTGCCACATAACCTAACATTCAAAGGGTCAGAGATTAAGATCTTTAGGGGGGCATTGTTCTGCCTATCACGCCATACAACCCAGCAGTTCCAGTCCTAAAAAAGTGCATTAAAGATAAATGAAAATATGTGTCTATACAAGGACCTGTACTTAAATGTTTATAGCAGAATTTTTCACAATCTGCCAAACTCAAAACAACCCAAATGTCTATAAACTGGTGAACGCATAAACAAGTTGTGGTTCATCATACAATGAAAAGGAACAAACTACGGACACATGCTTAGAAACATGAATAAATCCAAGTGTTATGCTAAGTGAAGCCAGATGCAAAAGGCTGTATACCATGGCTCCATTTATGTGACATTTTTGTCAAAGCAAAACTATAGGGACAGAAACCAGCTGTGGTTGCCAGGCCTGTGGAGGGGGAAGAGGGCTTCAAAGGCACACAAAGCTCTTGGAATGGTGGAAATAGTCCATATTTTTATTGTATTGGTTACATAGCTATATACATTTGTAAAAATTCGTTCAACTCTACACCTGGGAAATTTTATACTGAATGTTAATTATACCTCAATAAGCCTGACTTTTTTTCTTTTTCTTTTTCTTTTTTTTTATATTTTTATTGGGGAATTGGGGAGGGGAACAGTGTTGGGGAATTGGGGAAGGGGAACGTTGTGTTTTTCCAGGACCCATCAGCTCCAAGTCAAGTTGTTGTCCTTTAATCTTAGTTGTGGAGGGCGCAAACTCAGCTCTAAGTTAGGTCGCCACTTTCAATCTAGTTGCGGGGGTGGGGGGCGCAGTCCACCATCCCACACTAGTGTCGAACCGGCAACCTTGCTACTAAGAGCTCATGCTCTTAACCAACTGAGCCTCTCGGCCGGCCCCCCAGGCTTTTTTCTTAAAAAGTTAAAAGGCAAAAACAATGGGAGTGAAAAAAGAATATCACTACAGATTCTGTAAACATTAAAACATCAATATGTTTGAAAATATAGAAGAAATAATAAATTTATTTTAAAAATTAGCTTAGTGATATAAAAATTAATGAAATATTTCATAATAAAAGACAATCTATA